ATTTCAGAACACTTAATTGTGCTCATGTGGAAACTGTTTATAAACCAAGAGGCAACTGTTAGACTAGAACTAGGAGGAATTGCATGGTTTAGAATCTGGAAAGATATGCCTCAAGTTTGTATCTTTGCACTACATCATTTAATCTGTATGCTGAGCAAGTATTCAAAGAAGCTGGACTACATGAGGAAGACTGTTGCATCGTGCAATGCAGCTGACACAATCTTGCTTGCTGAAACCAAAGACTTGAATCACTTACTGATAAAGATCACAGTATGAATTACAACTTAATGTAAAGAAAATAAAAATACTCATAAACAGACCAATAGATATCATGATACACCTAGAAAAGATGGAAGATGCCAAAGATTTAATTTTATTTGCATGCATAATCATCACTCAAGAAAGCAGCAGTCAAGAAATCAAATGACATATTGCATTGGGCAAATCTGCTTCACAAGATCTCTTTAAAATATTAAGGAGTGGAGGAAGGTGAAAGGAAATAGAGGAAAGAAGTAGGGGGCAAAAGCTATTTATAGAGGTATAGCAATGGACATGCACATATGTAAACATATTAATTTATAATGAAAGGGATAGGGGCCAATGTACATAGATGTATATGTTAAGTATTAAGATAGCAGATGGACTTTGGGCCTCTACTCGAGGCCTCACTAAACACAAGAACACTTGTTCTAGTAACCTGGCACTCTTTGAATCTCACCTTCCCAACAGGATCACTGAAGACAGAATAGATACACAGGCAAATGTGGTGAAGAAAGTGGATGGTGTCTGACTTTCAAAAGATATAACATCTGGGGTCTCAAAGGCTTGAAGTCAAATAAGCAGTTAAATAAGCAGGGAAGCAAATAAGTCCACATGAAAGAGGCACACCAGCCTGTGTGATCATGAGGTGTCCATGGGATCAGGTATCAGGTATCAAAAGATACAAAACAAACACTTATATCGACGCTAAACAGGAGGGTTGCAGTGGGGACCCACAGCCCATCTGTAGACAGTTGTACATCTCTCTACAGAGGGTTACAAGGAAGGGACAATTCAACCACGGTGCAGTATAGCACTGACGAAACACACATCATTCCTCTAGTTCCTGAATGTTCCCCCACCCCCCAAATACCATGACCTAGTTCTACTTTACAAATCTGGACAGACTGAGGTACACACATTGATACAGATAAGAACTCTTAACACATGGAATTCAGGACAGATAAAACCCTCCAGAACAGTAGTGGGAGTAGCAATATCATGAGAGTAAGGGGATGGTGGGGGAGGGGAAGAAAGGGGGAACCCATCACAAGGTTGGATATATAGTCCTCTTCCCCAAGGGGGATGGATAGCAGAAATGTGGGTGAAGGGAGACAATGGACAGTGTAAGACATGAAAAAAAAATCCAATAATAATATATAGCTGATCAAGGATTCATGAGGGAGGGAGGGAATAAAAGAGGAGCTGATACCAAGGGCTCAAGTAGAAAGAAAAAGTTTAGGAAATGTTGATGGCAACATATGTACAAGTGTCCTTAAACAATTGAATTATGGATTGTTATAAGATTTGTAAGAGCCCCCCACTAAAATGATTAAAACAAATATTAAAGAGCAATGATGCCACTTTAAGGACTAAGGTGTTTCCAATGCAAGCCATGGTGTTTTAAATAGCCTTACATGCATGTGGAAACTGGGAAATGAACAAGGAAGACCTGAGAAGAATTGATACACTTGAATTATTGTGTCGAAATTACCATGGTCTTCCAGAAGAACCAAAAAAAAAAATCTGCCTTGGAGGAAGAATCATCAGAATGCTCCTTAGAAGTTGGCTGGTAAGACTTCATCTCCTGTGCTTTGGATACATTATCAGGAGAGAGCAACCCCTGGAAGCAGGGCACCAGGCGTGGTAAAGTAGAGGGTCGGTGAAAAAGAGGAAGATCTTCAATGAGATGGATTGGCACAATGGCTGCAATAATGGGCATGGTCATAATAATAATTGTGAGGATACTGATCTAGTTGGCAGATATATATTTTTCCTTCTTCTTCTCTTGTACATAGGGGTATAGAACCAACTTCAGGGTATATAGCAACAAAAACAGCCATTTTCCATGAATACAGGCAATTCCTTGTTTCCTCAAACAGAGGAAAGGTGTTACTTCCAGAGACAAAGAAATTTAGGTGGAATCAGTATGTTTAAAATTCTTATTTGCCTCTGAGTTCACCTACACATACCTATGAGTAGATTTTATCTTACTAATGGCGCGTTTTGAGTAATTGTTACAGAATGACAGCTAGAGGAGGCTGTCTTTATCTTGAGGAAGGTGTCTGAGTGGAAGCTCATTTCTTATCCAGGGATGCCAGGGACTCATCATAGGGTAGGTGTTAGGAGATATTTTAAGATCTCTGGCTGGCTTGATGGCCAGGGGACCTGGGCTGCAGTCTAGGCTTTGTCTTATATAGTGAGGCAAGTTTTCTATAATACTTTCCGATTTGCTTTCTGCATTTTTCTTTTCTTTTTTGTCTTTCTCAATCAAGGAACCAGGTTCTCCCTCATATTTGAGTGATAATTTTGTTGCATAGAAGATTCTTGGCTGGCATTTTTTTTCTTTCAGGGCTTTATATATGTGATTCCATTGTCTTCTTGCCTGAGTGGTTCCTGCTGAAAAAATCTGAGCTTATTCTGATTGGTTTTCCTTTGTTGGTGACTATTATTTTTTTCTCTAGTTGCTCCCAGGATTCTGTCTTGTTCTTGATATTGTAAAGTTTAACTGTGGCATGTCAATTTGTTTTTCTTTGGGGATCTATCCTGTTTGGGGTTTTCTCAGCTTCCTGGATGGTTATTTTCTCTTCTGTTCTGGTCTCATCTTCTGACGCTAGATGAGGCTGAAGGTGCTGAGGGAGAACTGGAGCCTTACGAATCTTAACTCTTTTCTCTACTTGTTCCCCAGCTTCTAGAATATGAAGTTTCTATTTACCTAGCTTTCAAGCCATCCTCTGAGATCATAAGCTAACTGGTCTTTCTTTGATGTGTATGTTCTCTTGATTGTAGAGGGCTTGACCTGTGTGTGTTCAGTCAGCCATCTTGCCCTGGAAGTCTTGGGTACCAGGTCTTGTTATGTCTTAGATCCAGGTACATATTTCTTTCATTTTGTAAAAGATTGTACAACAGGATGCTTTGTGGATAATAAGTCTGGGAAAGCATGCCTTTCTGGATTACACAGATCCAGAGAGAAATATTTACTTCATGTCACAAAAGAGCATACAGTTGTGAATTGGCAGCAGGGAGGCATTAGCACAGGGATGGAGCTTACTTTAAGCTCCCCAGACCTCCTGGGAGACAGCTTCTGGTTATACCTGGTAAAGGATCTCAAACACAGGGAGACTCATATTCAGGAAAAGTTACCACATATTCTCTGGGTGGTACCCAAGCCAGACCTTCCAGCACTGAGAAGTCAAGATATTCCTGGAAATTCAGGATATATCAGTAACCATTAAACTAATCTAAACATTAGATTCCATCTCCATTGTACCTGACCTGATTCTAGTTTGATGCTGTACAAGAAAGAACTGTCAATAATAATTGGAACTACGTTTCTGACAAGCCTAATAGGAGTGTTTAGACTCAGACTCAAATGCTTTCAGGAAAATGTGTAAATGTTTTTCCCCTTATAATTTGAATCTGTACAATTATATTTATGCCTACATTCTCCTCTAGGTGAAGTTGCATCAGTGGACACAGTTTGGAAACTTCACATATAGAAACCACAATAATTTCCTAATCCATAGACTGTTGTTCTTGAGTCACATGTGATGATTCATGTAAACTGTAACCAGCAATAAAAGATAAAATGAAAATAGTTCTATTTCTATGGGTTGTCTACATAGATCTAGGCCACATGGACTCATGTGGGAGAAGGGAGAGGCAGAAGACAATTTCAATGAAAGTACTCAACACAGTCTTATTCAACACACTCTAATGCTTAGCACTTTGTAGGTGTTCCTTGTGTATTTGTTGGTTGATTGCTCGCAAAACTAGTGCTTTCTTGACCTTCTGCAGAGAGGAGCCCTTTCTAATTCACAAGGTTGATTTAGTCCATGCTATCAGTCAGGAGTGTTAACCTAAAGGCCAGCAGTAACCTAGAGAGGCAGGCTGAAAGGGACTCAGGCTAGTGAGTGATCAAGCAGACTCAGCTGATGGGAGACACTGAGTTAGATGTTGAATTGGATGGGGTGTGTTGGTCCAGTCTAGGTGAGAGTTGGGGCCGAGTGTTCTAGAGAGGGAGACCAGCATCTCTGTCCACACAAGGCCCAGCCTGACACATGCCCTTGAGGCTTTTCTTTGCTAGGGTGCGAGCTGACCAGCAACCCAGTGGTGAGGCCCTGCTACAATTCAGACATGGTCCTGAGTGTCCTAGGTGGTGAGGCAGGGAATGCACCAGCTCAGATAACTGTGTTGTGGAAGGGATAGACTGGGGTGGATTCGGAGAAGTCTCTGTTGTAAATGGGGAAAGAGGAGAAGGGTGTCCAGGAGATTGGGGCGCTGAGTTGGGCCTGGCAGAGAAGGGAATGAAGGAAACTAAACCAAAGGGAGAAATAGGAGTTTCTCAGGGACCCTTCTTTCCAAAGATGCCAACTTTCCTGGCTGTGGGAGAGAAATACCCTGTTTCTGCTCTTCCCTGAGCTCCAAACTCCACCTGGGTCCCATTGGACACCTTTTGCCTCTCTACCATGTAGCACAGAAGGAGGTAGCAAGTCCATCTGAGTTCAAGATCAGAAAGGGTTGTTTCCTCGTAAGGCTTCCGTCTTGCAGACGAGCAGGCTCTGGGGATAGAGGAGTGTTATGAAGAAGCTGGATAACCATTTTGCAAGGATTTGGGAAGGTGGTGGGGAGAAGAGGACACAGAGGAGAATTATAGCCATGAGTTGGAAGGCCGTGGCTTTGAAAGAAGGCCAATGAATAAATAGGACACTAACCCTTTCATTTCAGCTAAGACACCTTTATTAAGCTGCTGGCGGAGCAGAGAGAAAAAATGGCAGCCGCAGAGGAGTTTGTTTGGAGTCCTGCAGCTGGTTGTGTTCTATGGTTTCCTTTATCCAGGACAGGTAGCTCGTGATTTTGGTAAAGGCTCGTGGAGGGGTTCCTTGAGGGTGTCCATAGGACACAATGCCCTGAGCCATGTTCTTGCAGACGAGGGGTCCCCCAGAGTCCCCCTGTGGACAGAGAGGGGGCAGACATGACATTAGTCCTCTGATTCTGTTGCCTCGGCAAGCGCCATACTCCGGGAGAAGGTTAAGCTCTGATCTTGAACATTGCTTCACCACACCCCAGGCTGCGGCCTAACTGCTCCCACTTCTAGGACCCTGCCCCTATAATGGACTGTGGGGCTTTTGGAAACAGGTAGGCGAGTGTGAATGAACCACGCTTGAAGGACATGGCATTAACCAAGTTGGCTGCCGGTTCTTGTGTGGCTGCTTGTTTTTAATTACTTTATGCCGGGGGTGAACTCTTTCTAGTGTGTGTGGTCTGTGGTGGGATACTCCTTCACGTACTCAAAAGCGAACAAGCAAACAAACAAAAACACCAATAGCAACAGCAGCAAAAAGTTAGCCACATAGCTAGTCTCCTGGCAATCCCATATGTGACAGAGTAGAGCTGCTTCATTGGGGTTTCTTACCCTAATAAGGTGTCTTTAAAGACACCTCTGGGTGGGCTTGAACCATCAAGCTTTGGGTTAGTAGCTGAGTGCAGATTGTTAGCACCATCCAAGGGCATTTTATGGGTGGGCAGGGGGTTGGAAGTTCATCCTGGAAGAGTGTACCTTTTCAGAGGCACGGTTGACAGGCCAGCAGAGATCCTAGCGACTCTAATTGAGTTTGCCACCCACTCTTTTTTCACCAGGAAATATGTCACAGACTACTGGGTGAAGAGTCCCCTCATGCATTGGGTCTCCTAGTCTCAGGCCTTCCCTCCAACTCCATCCCCGCAGAGCCAGTCTCTGCAGTTGCTAACCCTCACCTTAAAGGAGGCCATGTTTTTCTTCAGGTCTCCTACGCACAGCTGAGTGGAACTGTTGTACCGGGAGGGGAAGCAGGACTCACACTCCTTATCCTGCTGAACAATCAGCTTTACTTCATGCAGCGTGGTCGTTGATTGGCTCAGTGACGTCTTGCCCCAGCCAGCCACGCTGCACACCTGCCCTGGCTTTACTCCGGTGGGTTTCCGGGGTAGTTTGAGTAGGCGCACAGCTCTGGTCAGTTTGGCTTTGGTCTCAAGCTGTTGGGGAGAGAAAAGAAAATCCCAGTGAACAATAGCGTGCTGATTCGGAAGAGGCGGGTGCACTGTACTGTATTCCTCATCCTCTAAGGCGTTGGGACCAGTCAAGCCGCCAGAGTGGGAAGGGGGGCAAGGACAAAGGTCATGGTGGGAGGAGAAACTTCCTGGCCCTGGGGGCGCAGGGAGGGGCAGAGATGTGCACCTCACCTGTAGCAGCATGATGTCGTTGGACAAAGTGCCCCGAGCATAACCCGGGTGGGTGAATCGTTGTTTCACCGCGATGTGCTGCTGGGTCTTTTCTGGTGCTTGGATGTTGTGGGCCCCCAGGGTGACATTGATGAAGCTGCACAGAGAGCAGAATGGGACAGAGGGAGTCACAGAAGCTGTTGGCCCGAGGCTGGGAAGGATAAGTGGTAGCCAAGGTCAAGCAGCACCCTAGCTGATGGGAAACGGAGGAGACAGGAGGGTCTCATTTGAGCGCACTGTGGCCTCTGCATCTCATCACCCCAGTGCGATGCGGGACTCAGTGGTGTTTCTCAGAGACCAGTTACGCCCCAGGAAACAGATCAGATTGTCTTTGCTTTTATTTTGACCCCAAAGGCATGCTCCTCGCTGTAAATACAATCAGATTGGCCAGGTGAGGCTCTATTCCTTCAGCAAAACCTCCGCCATAAACCTGCTCCTCTCTTTACAAAACGCTCTGATCGCTTTCTCAGTCTCCGGCATCTCCCCTGACCGCCCCCACCCCTATCTTCCTGTGTTATGAGGAAGCCTTTGGAGGAGGGTAGGGATGGCAATGGGAGAGTGGGCTGTTTGTGGATCCTCACCTTCCTGAGCAGTGAGCGGCTGTCAGCACAAAGTTATCTCGGATCAGAAAACCACCACATATTTCCAGTTTATTTCTTACTCTCGAGAATTGAAGAAATGCCATGTATGGACGTGAATGTTTCTTCACCTCATGTCCCCCGATGATCCCCCCTGAAAGAGAAATCTGGTCTTTGGTGCACACCCCTGCGTCCCCTGGAAGGCCTCTGCTGGACGACTCCAGCACTTCTGATCCTTTGCAAGCCTGGCTGGGGTGGCTGGGCCTAGCGCTTCAACCTCCTTCTCTGAACCAGGGGAAAGCAGTCCTTGGTCTGCAGTCTTTCTTCTGCGTAAAACTGGAGGGGCTCACAACTGTCTTAGGCACCACAAAGAATCAGCGCTTCCAGGAATTCCCATCAGGACCTTTCTTAGTTTCCGTGACTTTCTCCTACCTCTAAGAGTCCTGTGATATCTGGGCAATGCTGCTTTCGAATGGCTAAGACAGTTTAAAGATTTAGGTGGTGTTATAATCTATTTCTGAAAGCCCGATCAAGTGAGCACCCAGTAAATGTGCATTGGGTATATAAGAGTGTAGCCTGCAACTATTGCATGAGGATCACTGGGTTTAGTGTTGGCGGGCTTCTGGGAAGCAGAAATGTAGGCTCAACTTGGAAAAGAAAAAAGGTCCCAGCCGTGGCCTGAGAAGAATGAAGAAGCACAATGCTGGAGCAATGGGCTGGGGTGGACGGGCCTGAGCAAAGGCCAACAAGGCCATTTGGACAGTGGTTCCACTAATTCCAGGATCAGCTGAGCTCTGGGCTTTCATTGCATGCTGAAGGGTGAAGAGAACAATTTAGCACCTTCCAGACACAGAAGGAAGCCCAGCCCCTGTGGCCCCTGCAATAAAATTTGATCTGTTTTCCTTTCCAGTTTCCTACCCGTTGCCATGAACGTCCATGAAAACCCCCCTCTCCAGATGACAAACAGAGCCCAGCGAGGAACACCACCCCTGATACTTCTTAAGAGCTGACGTCTCTGCTCTCTTGTTGATAGCTTATGCTGCATCACTCTGGGGGCCTGGGGTGGGACTAACGATGGGATCCGGAGTTTTTATGGTAGCTCCATGGGTCAGGAATATGCAGACAGAGCAGGATACAGTGTCCATTGTGGGGTGGGGTGGGGGCTTGAGGGAAGGGCTGATCACTTACCCGTCTCTGCCCCAGGAACCAGCAGAGAGGCTAAAAGGAGCAGGATCAGCGGCATCTTCCCAGGAAGGCTGCCCAGGTCAGAGCGGCTTGTTCTTCCTCCTGGCTTGCTTTTAAACACACGAGAGAGGTGGCGGTTTGCTCAGTGACCTCCCCTCTGGTTTTGTGGTGATCAACCATAGAGCGCCTTCTACAGCAGCTACCCTGCCGTCTTCTCACATGGGCCCGTTGACGCTCTGGGTGTTATGTGGTAGCACTTGGCAGTCATCACATCAGTATACACCGCTGATGACTCAGAGGAAGCCCAGGAGTGCATGATGTGAACTGTACCTTGTAGCAGCCCCCGTAGAGGTACCAGATTCCTGGAAGCCGGTGTCTTATGTGAGAGGACCAACAATGGTTTCATTTCACTGTTGCGTTGCCCATCACAATCATTTTTCTCTGCAGATGTGCATTTAGGCCTTTTTCTGTGCAGGGCCAAGCCTATTCGAGACGGGGCTCCTTTCGTTAGAGAGCTAAGCTAACTCTCTGGTGGAGGAGGTAGAAACACCAGCCACCCAAGCAGATGATGGCCCTGGTAGAGTGACACACAAGGGATTAAGGGAGCAGAGGCACCATCTACTAAAGCAGCGGTTCTCAACCTGTGGGTCGCGACCCCTTTGGGGGTCAAATGACCCTTTCACAGGAGTGGCCTAAGACCATTGGAAAACACATATTTCCAATGGTCTTAGGAATTGAGTCACCGCTCCTCTGTCTGTCTCCAGGCGGGTCCGCCCACCTGCAGATACACCCACATATGTACCTGCGTGAAGACTATTACCCATGCTACACCATGCTTCGAGACAAAATTTCATTTATTTGTAATTAGAAAGAAATATTTCACAATATATAATTACATATTGTTTTTGTGATTAATCATGGTGCTTTAATTATGTGCAATTTATAACAATGAAAATACATCCTGCATATCAGATATTTACAGTATGATTCTTAACAGTAGCAAAATTACAGTTATGAAGCAGCAACAAAAATAATTTTATGGTTGGGGGTCACCACAGCATGAGGAACTGTATTAAAGGGTTGTGGCATTAGGAAGGTTGAGAACCACTGCTATATGGGGTTTCTGAGACTATAAACCATTATGGGCTCTTCTTTCCCCAGAGAATCAGCCGGTGGATTTGAACCAGACCTACAGAGACACCAGAGCTCTTTAAGCATATAATAGAGCCAATAGAAAACCTTTGCTAAACTATGCTGATGACCTTACTACAATTGAAGTGAAGGACTTGTTTCTAAGCATCCCAAATCAAGTTTCATTAAAAGAACAATTAAGTAATTACCTGTGAATGCTTCCATAAGAAATATTATATATCAAAATGTGCAATATCAAACTAAATTTCTTTCCTTACCAACTGTAAACCTCTACTTATTAGAACTTAGTTTTTCTAGTAGAAACATCAACAAAATTTTTTTCATTAAAAAATCATTTTATTGGGGCCTCTTATAGCTCTTTTTTTGGTTTTGCCTCTTATGGCTCTTTTAACAATCCATACATCATATTTATACATATGTTGCCATCATTATTTTCTAAACATTTACTTTATATTGAGCCCTTAGCATCAGCTTCTCTTTTTTCCCTCTCCCTCCTGGTGA